TCTACTCTCTACTACTACTACTACTCTACTCTACTCTCTACTCTACTCTTCTCTCTCTCTCTCTACTCTCTCTCTCTCTCTCTCTCTCTCTCTCTCTCTCTCTCTCTCTCTCTCTCTCTCTCTCTCTCTCTCTCTCTCTCTCTCTCTCTCTCTCTCTCTCTCTCTCTCTCTTCTCTCTCTCTCTCTCTCTCTCTCTCTCTCTCTCTCTCTCTCCACCTCTCTCCCCTCTCTCCCTCCTATGTTTGTGACCACCATTGCCAACTGTAATCCATGCCACACAGGTGACTTGGGCTCGGCCTACGAGGAGCTGCACGCGTGGATGACGCACCAGCTAGTCGCGAGCGACGACGCCGACTCGCGACCTCTGACCCCTGACAGCCTCGACGACTCGCCGCCCGCCGCCTCCGCTCGTCTCTCCGTGTTCTCCGCGCCGCGGTGGGGGAGGGGCTTGCGCTCGTGCGGGGTCGTGGAGAGGTCAGCCAGCCAGAGCTGCGTGGTGAGTCATCGACTGTGTAATTTTTTTTAAATACACTAAAATTTAAAAAAATAGAAATTTAATTTAATTACATTTTTTAAATTTTGCGTTTAAAAAAAAATTAAAGACGTTAACTTTTAATTCAAGCGCGAATTACAACGATGACGTGCGAACCCTAAACACGCTAATAACGAATGAACAGGTGGAAACGCAATTCAAGATGTTAACATTTAATTTAAACGCGAATTACAATGACGACATACAAATGCCTAACAGACGCGCCATTCAATTCAATTCAATTTAATTCAATTTCAATTCAATTTACTTTATTTAAACGTTTGACAATTACATTTTGGATGTATCATATTAACGCCAATAATGAATGAACAGACGATGACGCAATTAAAGAGGTTAACTTTTAATATAAACACAAATTTTAACGACATCACGCAAATGCTTATAAAGACACGCTAACAACGAATTCAAGACATTAACTTTTAATATAAACGTGAATTTAACGAGCAACCGTCCCATCGCTCGTCCGCGATCTAACTTCGCGCATGGGCCAAGAGCCGTGTGGACGCGTGATGTGTCACATTCCGACATCGTGTTATTTCAGGAAGAAGCGTCCGGATGGAAGAGATGGGAGTCTGCCTACAGAGCTCTCACAACAACACCGGCCGCACACACGGTCAGGTACGTAGGTCTGTGCGTAGGTAAGGTCAAACGTCTCTATTCTTACACGATAGCACAACTATGATGGGCTGTGGTAAGATGTAAAGTCTGCCGCACATACGGCCAGGTAAGCGTCTGACAAATCACATCACATATGTCATCTATCGCAGTACATATGTCACCGATCACAGGTTATATGTCACCAATCACGGCATATATGTCACAGCATGTCAAAACAGTGTCAGATCTAGAGATGGCACCACCTAGCATGTGCCTATTTCGAGTTTTCCTACTTACAAAAAGCTACATGTATTTCTCTAGCACATCTATCTCTACTACCACGTATCTACGCACCTACATTTCCATAAGCCATATCGGAAAGTCCCCTCCGCCGTATTGAGATCAGATAAGAGGGGTGATAAGTTGTCTATATATAACATAGTTACGATAGTACTAGTATAGGTTGTTGATCTATAATTCTCTTCACTAACATCGTACTTCAATTCACAGGTGCTTTTCTGTTTACAGAAACATTTACAAATATGATTGTGGTCATTTGGGATATTTTGCAATGTTTGTGTTAATACAAAAACTAAAAACACACGAGTGTTACATTACATATGTCATTAATATGTCATCATACATACATTAATCATGTACTTTCCGTAGCACGCCGCGGCGATTTTATCCCCCTTTATCTATGACCTAAATAACACAGCTGGACTTTCTGATATCACTTATTCGCAGGAACACGTGTACCGCCAAGGTCGAGGGGTCGCAAACTTTGACCTTCAACGTTAGCGACCCGGACGCACTCCCGCCGGATTCGCCCGACTCTACTCTCCCGTCGCTCCCTTCCTCTCGGCTCGACCGGCCCGACAGCGCCACCTGTTGCTCAAAATCTCCGATCTCGGATCGGTCCGCCCGCGACGGCGGCGCCGCCTGTGGAGCGACGATAGAGGGCGCCGCCGACGATGCAGAGTTCGGGTTGGGGTCGTCGCTGGGGTCGCGACCTGGGTCGAAGTGCTCGCCCTATCCCGTGCTTCCGGCGATCGCCGGACGTTGACCGATGGTCATTGTTGCTGCTGGTCGTTGTCCCTCGCGTCTACGATCGTGCGTGTATCCGCGGAAATCATTTGTATATATATTTTTTTTATTGTGTATTTGTATTTGTGTATTTGTATTTGTGTTTATGTATTTGTATTTGTGTATTTGTACTTCTGTGTTTGTATTTGTACTTCTGTATTTGTATTTCTGTATTTGTACTTCTGTATTTGTATTTCTGTATTTGTACTTCTGTATTTGTATTTCTGTATTTGTATTTTGCATTTGTATTTTGCATTTGTACTTCTGTGTTTGTATTTATATTTCAATATTTGTACATATGTATTTGTATTTTTGTATTTCTGTATCTGTAGTTGTGTTTGTGTATTTGTATTGTCTCGAATGAAGTGCGAACCGTCATGTTGTTCTTCATGTACATGTATATAACTTGAAATGCTGATGCGTCGCGATTGATAACGATTTATAATTGATCACACAACATGGTTTTGCACACACAAAAATCGTCTGGTAAGAAAATGTTGTCGTGGTAAATTTCGAGTCTGACAGACAGACAACTGCGTAGTGTCATGTAAATATTTTCTAGTTAAATAAAAAAAAATTATAGTTTAATTAATCTGTTCCAGCATCTGTACTGCTCCTGCTTCTAGCTCCCATTCTTTGGGCTGTAGGCCCCCTATCACCTTCTTCGCACATACGGGCAAACTATTTTTTATACACAAGTTCAACATAATAGGCGCGTTCACACTGGCGCGAATAAGCGGGATGCAAATCCCGGTTTTTGCATCGCAATCGAAATACCGAGATTATTACAAGTGTGAACGCAATAATACTCACTAATAATCGCGATCAGCATCGCGCTCCAAATCGCACTTTTGACTGCGATTATTTGGAATTAGAGCGATTATTTGCATGTGTGACTGCTCGCTTTGGAATTAGCGCGATTATTTGCGTGTGTGAACGCTCGCGCAAATAATCCCGGTATTTTAGCGCGATTATTTGCGTGTGTGAACGCTCGCGCAAATAATCCCGGTATTTTCTATCCCATCATTCCAAGCGAGTGAGCAGTGAGCATGTGCAGTGAGCATCATTCCGGCAGTGAGCATGCGCAGTTCGATTAATAGAATTATCCCGCTCGGCGATTAGCGAGATATTTCCGCCTGTGTGAACAACGACACAATTATCTCGGTATTTCATCGCGATTAGCATCGCGGTTTTTCTTGTGTGTGAACGTGCCTAATAATGATTTTGGCCATGCGAAAACAGAGGTGCTATACGCACATTAGAAACACTGGACACATAGCGGTTTAAGAATTTCCCTTCACTCTCATTTTCATAAAGCATTTACTTTCTGCCCTCTCCACCTCCTGTAACTCTTTCCTGTCCACCGCCTATAACTCTTTCCTCTCCCTCTTTCTCCCATCCCCCTCCCTCCTGTTCCAGTCTTTTTTACACCGCATAGTTCTCTCCCCTCGTCTCCTCGTTTTCTCCACATCTACTCCTTAAATATCCACCATTTACCTACTCATAGCTACCTCTAATCCTCTTCCTCCTCCTCTTCCTCCTTCTATCCTTCCTCTTCCTCGTCTTGTTGTTCTCGCGTTTTAAATACCAGCAAACTATTTCTCCAACAACACAGCATAAATCAATCGTGAAGTGAAGTCCTCTAACTTTTTATCTTTCTGAGCCGCTGGTCGGCGCTAGTGTCGTGAATGAATTGTTGTACTATAACACGAAACGCGTCCACCTATTTTGTTATTATCATACTTTTAAGTAGCGGGCTCATAGCCTCGAATTGTTCAATAGACAAAAAATGGCTAATGCCACTCTCTAATAATTGAATCAAGGATTAATTGAATCTGAATTTGACCCCTGACGTGAACAAAAACATGGAATAGCCCATGAATAGTAGGGCCGTAGGCTGAGCAATTTTCTAGGGGGGGAGCAAAATTTTATGACTGAACTGTGTCGACGGCCGCTGACTGATGAGCGACGGGCGCAGATCTTGATCGACGTCCATAGTGTGGTAGGGGTGGTGGGTCTGAGACGAGGCTTTCACGGATAATTAGTCACACAAAAATCACATTAGGTTTTTTTACGATTATTAGCCAAGCTTATTTGTTAATTTCGCTCCAAAATCTAGGGGGTGCAGTAGACCGAATAATTCTGTCCCATATAACCTTTTTTATATTTTGGTGAGGGTTATATTGGCCAATATATATATTGGCCAATATAATAATAATTGTCCCATATAATTATAAATATATATATGGGCCAATATAACCCTCACCAAAATATAAAAAAGGTTATATGGGACAGAATTATTCGGTCTAGGGGGTACAGCTGCCCACCTTGCCCCCCCCCCTTCCACAGGCTACGGCCCTGAACAGCGTCGGGTCTCTGTGGAGAGCTATATTAATATCTGCTAAAAGCTATAATAGTTTCATGACGTTAGGCGTGTAAAGTTGATAGCGCAGTCTCTCGTGGCGTTTCGTGTTGTAAATGTCGATTATTTCAGTGCATTCCTACCGGTATTATATTCATTCAGTTTCGGTGTGAATTTACTTGGAGAGCCCGATGGCTATGAGACAAGAGAGAGAGAGAGAGCTGAGAGAGAGAGAGAGAGAGAGAGCGCGCGAAAGAGCGAACGAGGACGGAGAGCAGGAGGCCACGCAGCGGAGCCCGCCACGAACAACGGCGCGACGAGCGGAGGGAGAGCGCAGGACCGGACCGACAGAGCGGCAGGGACGGAGGCGAGAGCCAGGCGAGGACGCAGCAGAAAAGAGAAACACGACAGAGCGACCGAGGGACGAGGAGCAAGCGCACGGACCGAGAGCCGGGGGCCACGGAGAGGGAGCGAGCGCGGGCGGAGGGAGACCGCGAGCCAGAGCACGCCAGAAGGCAGCAGACGACACAGGAGGACCGAGAGCAGCACGAGAGGGGACCCCGACCGCGGCACGCGACGCGGACGGAGGGGCGCGCGGACGAGGCCCCGACGGCGCCACGACGCCAGGCGGCTGCGGCCCGGGAGGGACGGAGACGCGGCGCAGACCCCGGCGGGCACCGAGCCGGCCGGGCCCACGCCCCCGCGCGAACGACCGGACGCCGCCCCGAGGCCCCCGGCCGACAGAGAGAGAGAGAGGAGAGGGGGGGGGAGAGGGCATGGAGGAGAGAGAGAGAGCCAGGAGAGAGGCAGAGAGAGAGAGGAGCGAGAGAAGAGAGCCGCGCCGCCCACGAGAGAGAGAGCGAGAGAGAGAGAGAGAGAGAGAGAGAGAGAGAGAGAGAGAGAGAGAGAGAGAGAGAAAGCTGAGAGAGAGCGCCAACAAGCGAGGCAAGATGGGAGAGAGGACGCGAGAGAGAGAGAGCGAGAGCGAGTGAGGGAGAAAAAATACTGTTCGTGTGAGGGGGTGTATGTTTATGTGAAGGGGTGAAATTCCTAGTATAGATGGGCCTAGTATTCCTAGTATTCCTAGTATTCCTAATATTCCTAGTATTCCTAGTATAGCTAATTTTATTAAACCAATAGCTCCATGTTTTAAATACAGTCAATTTAGCTCTTTCTATCTAAGCCACATCAAGACTTCTTTGATTAGTTAGTTCAAGACTTCGTTATCGTTTCTTAATATATGTGACGCGACGAATCTTTTGTATATATATATATATACTGAGTTGTACAGTCGTATATAGGCATATATATTTGTATATATCATGAGACTATTTGCAACAGGGTGTGACGCTTAAATTCTTCCGGTGGAAAATCTAGTTTTTGGATCGTGTGTGACTCATTTACCTTTAATCGTTGTGTCGGATAACGTCATGTATTGTGATATCTGGCCAGTGTAATAAAGATTCTTGTATGTTGTATCGTTGATGCCGTGTATCCACATTTCCTTCTAGTCATCCTTTTGCGCACAAGTGAACAACTCTCTGAATTTCGAGTATATAATGTACTAATTAATTCATCACGCACTCAACATCTGGCTTGCCGGTGATTCGCCACGACCGGCAGTTAGATGCGATATGATATGAACTACTAGGCAGCTTAGGATATGAACTACTAGGCACTTAAAAAAAAAACAACCTAACCCTACACCTAACCCTAAAAAAAAAAAAAAATTAACATTAAAGTGGCCTAGTAGTGCTTCCCTTGTGGGTTATAAGTCATATTCGGCATCTTTCTGCTGATTTGCGTGGTATTCCCTGTCCGATCTAGAGCGATCCGTTGGGACGCTGCTGTGGCGAGAAATTTACACATGGTCTATATAGTAAGATAGACTATCTAGACCATATCTAAACATTAATAACCATATATAAATCATCCATTGTCTCTCTCTCTCTTCTCTCCTCTCCTCCTCCTCTCCGCTCTATCTATATATATATATATAAGAGAGAGAGAGAAAGAGCGAGAGAGGAGAGAGAGAGAGAGGAGAGAGAGAGAGAGAGAGAGAGAGAGAGCAGTGGAGATTTCCGACCGCCTGCGCGGCCCTCTTGCGGTTTGCTCTTTCTTTTTTATTCAGCTGTAAAACTTGACGTTGTAATTGTGAATGAGATTGAATCGAGAGAGGGAGAATGCAATTAGAGAGCATTATTTTAAGGATGGCCGAGGCGGGTGAGACTTCACTCGTGGTTGAATAATGCATGCGAATAATGAATTTGAATAATAACGCGGCAGATTCGTCTAAATCAAATTCATACTTGGTGACGTGCGCGTAGTTTTTAAAATTGCGGAAAAAAAAAAAACGCACTGCGCGTGCGTGCGTGCGTGCGTGCGTGCGCGCACTGCGTGCGGTGGCGTTGGCGTGGGCGTGCGTGCGTGCGCTGCGTGCGCGCGCGCGTGTTCTGCCTGCCTACTTGCGCGCGTCGTGTGGGCGTGCGTGCGTGGCATGGCGTGGCATTGCGTGCGTGCATGCGTGCCTCTCCGCTATCTGTCCCGGTGTGTGGTGCGATGGTCAGCCACTGTTTATATTCAAGTTATTTCGCGTTTCTAAAATATATATACTATAGCATAATATATTATATAATATATATATATATATATATACTATATAAGCATATAATCAATTTTTATTTTATACTTAGAATAGTATCTGAAACTGAAATTTTGAAACT